TGATCATGTTCATTTAAGGTAGGATTGTGTATCTCAGTTATTCCCACAATGATCCAAATAAGGTGGCAATGGAGTCCAAATCCAAAAAAGGTCTATTCATTTTACTGTTTTTCACATTCACAAACTGGCAAAAAATCCATCATCATCATTGGCTGTTCATTACAGAGCCCCAAGGTCAATTACTGTCATATCACTGGGAAACATTTGCACATTACTCCCAGTTATTGGACCAAGTTTCATGTTTCTAGATCATTCCAGCTCACTGCAATTTGACCCACGATGGAAGATGACAAATAATAAAGCTGTACCAACTCAACAGGGTTCTGTCAATTCAGGACATGGACCCTAATTATCATATTTAACATCATCGTTTTGGTTTTATGGCCTGCAACTCTACTGTTTTGGTTTACTCTCACTGGTCTCATCAATAGTTTTTGGCTGCATCAGGCAGCTGTTTTGAGCAAATAAACTCCAACAAACAGCAGTCAGGCAAAATTAGCGACTACCTAGTGATTATTCAATAATAGTGGCTTATTCGACAGCTTAAGAGATGGATATTTCCCTCTGGGGTTATATATCTTATATTCATGAAGTGGATACAAACACAGCATCTAATGATCAAACGATTTCTAATGTAGCTTAGCATCTGCTGGATGAGTAACTAGGCAACCAGTACGCCATATCAACTTAAAAGGTGATTACATGCTTACAGCTTGTTTTTGCTACTCCCACGTAGCCAAAAAATCAGCTCTTGCAGGTTTATGAATTCATCAGTTATGCAGCAACATTTGACAAGTCTTCACTGCATTCTCTATGTAACTTTGACAGAAATAAAAGCAGACTTGTTAGATTACACAACTAGCAAGATTCAGGTATCTGCAAATAGATTTTAATTTGTGCAGAGATTAATGAAAACAAATGAAGGGCCGGAACAAAACCAGAAAAAAATCACATTGAAATTATTTGCAGAATCATTTTTTTTTACAAAATGATGAGCTTTGAAAAGTGATTGGATATAAGCTAGCAAAACCACTGGTAAGGTTCTTAAAGGCCTCTGTTGACTGACATCACTGCGAGGTAGCAGTGTGTCTACAGTATATGTTTCAGGTGTCATTCTGCTTGTGTTACCTATTTCATGGTATAGTGATCCCTGCTTCATTGTAATGGCTTTCCTGGAGCTCGGCATTTCAATCTTCATGAGGTGATCACAACACTGCTTCCAATGGCCTGCAACAGATACACAAGCATCAATTTTCAAAGCATGTACACAACAAAGATTCTGTGCGTTAATTTACAATCAGCTTATGTTTCTCAGTAATTATATTGTCAAATGATATTTATGACGCCTGACAAGTCAGCAGTATCACAATACTCATGTCAGCCTGACAATACATACAGTATAGAGACAATGTCATACCTGTCGTACTACATACCAGGCAGCCTTAAACGCTGCTATGATAATGTGTACAGTATCTAAACACTGGTACGTATGTTACAAACATAATCATCAGAAAAATCATTTGTATTTATGCTGTGCTGGTGTCTTCAAGTCAGATTTGTGCTCCTTTGACTTTGAGCCTAAGCAGACAGCCATAAAAATCAACACGTCATCTTATTAAGACTATCAAGGATGAGAACAGACCAAAGCTCACATACACCAGAGAAATAACCCCTAAAATTGAAAATGAATTTAAATTAAGGAGCATTCTAATAGGGAGTGTACTGTCATACAAGATATGGATCTTAGCAAGGAAGAGAATAACTAGCGAGGTGTAAATGTCTGAGGAAGGTTGCTGTACTTTGCAGTTTGCACTAAAGACATACAGATCATCTTCCCAAAGTAAAATGATAAGTGCGAAGACAGTTAAATAGGAAACAAAAGATTGTGAATAAACAAACACACGCAGACACAGAGTCAAAATTAGAAGACTCTGGATTGTCATATTGACATACCATGAGACACAATGTGCACAATTAGCTCTGCCTAGAACGTCATGATTACGTTTAGGTGCCACCATGTGGGAACAACACTCCTCCTAACCTTTGGCTCCTATATTATACTATATGTAGAACTGCCTGTACTATCCCACCTCACAAGACGTCACATATTGCATGTCTATAAACTTGTACCTGGCGACAGATGCTGTAAATGCATACCTCAAAGTTTTTGTCATGTTAATACCACACAAGTATGTCACACATGCAGGTTAATGTGTGCGTTAACTTGAGAACTACATAATTTCAAATGCAACATTGCGAAGGCAGAGAGTATAGATAGATAGACAAATATGTTCCTTTGTGACACGTGATTCATAAAATGACATGCACATCTCACCGATGCCACGAATGCGTCAGTAAGGAATGTTGTTTTACAGGTATCAGCAGGTATCAGCAGATGCATTTTGCTTCCCAGACACACAAAACCTGATAAACATCCCCTCTAACCATTTCCAGGTATAGAGAATTGGCAGAGTTGGAGTCGAGGCTGCTGTCAAGTGCAGTTTGTTTCTCCTGCTCTTTAGAGAAAGACTGAATAAAGACAGTGCTCAGCTGTGTTTTGGAGCTGCAAAAACAGTTGATCGCATCAGGAAAAATAGAGATGGTGCATGCTGTGACTTTACATGCAGTAGCAGTTGGATCTTGCAAAACTACTTGGAAAAACCCAGTTAAAATCACATGTAAACAAAAAAAGTCTGGCAACTGTAGTCTGTTGCACTTTTGATGACAATCAATAAGCATGTGCTTCCTGGTGCTTGCAGATCACAATGGATCGAGGAACATATGTGGCATGCTAACAAGATTATTATCATTTCTTTAGACTTCAGATTATGCCTCTCTGTAGGCTCTAATTCACTGGTGCCATTTGAAAGTTAGTATTTTACAACGAAAAAGTCAGAGTCTGTATGCTAAACATGAAGCTGCAGCTAGCGGCCAATACGCTTCTCTTAGCATAAAGACTGGAAAGAGGAGGAACAGCTAGTCTGGCTCTGTCCAAAGGTAACAGAAAAATCACTTCACATTATTTCTCATTTGTTTAATCCATAAAAACACTTCAAATTGAGGAGTCTTTGCTAGTTGCTTGGCAACCCTCATGGTGACGACAAGTCTCCAGGAAGTCACTGCTTCCAACATGGAAATAGTTACACAGAACCACCACCAGTTCTATATATTACTTTAGCATGGATTAAACAAACAGAGGACATTGTGTTTTCAGTTCTTTTCTTCTTTTGTCTGTATATTTATCATTAATGATCTTTCAGAGATTTTAGTGAAATCTGGTAAAGAATCGGGCCATAAAGCAAGAACAGAACACATGGTTTGGGTGCAGATGTGTATCAATATCCGAAAATTTTATGTATAT